ATTGACCAGATGACAAGGACAGGTGGTTACTTGAGGGAGGCATTGCGCTGCCAAGAGTGAAATGCTCGCAGCTAAAGGGATTTGAAAACAAGAACAACAACGACAACAATAACAACCCGCAGATGGTTAACTGTTTCCTTTTCTTTTTTTTCCCAGTTCAGTTTTCTTTTCTTTTTTTTTTTACCTGTACGCTGTCGTTCATGAATGTGCTGAAGCTGCCCAGGCCAGACTTTATATGGCCAAGCACTCCTTTATCGTCGTCGTTTTGCAAATGCTTGTAGATAAGGCTATTACACACAAAGGCACACACCACTCCGGCTCTGAAAAAGAAAACCCAGAATTGGTTTTCAAAAGCACTGCTCACAACGATAATAACTTCAATTTTTCACATGAGACAATTTATTTAGTTTTAGCAGAGGTTTTACAGCGCTCACAACTGCATAAGGTCATATGAGCCCCAGAAGATTAGAGGTGTTACAAGAGAGTAACAAACATAGAAAAGAAGAAGGGGAGATAAGGACGATAGATGTTTCATAGGAAAGAAGAAGCAAACTACACCAGAGCACCCACCATACACTTGCAATAGAAACTGAAATTTAAAATTTTTTCAAACTTTCTCTGACGCCAGATACATTTAGAAACAGAACAATCAGGAAATTTTCTTGAAACTTCGTATTTGTTTTAGTAAGCATTTTACGGCACTTGCAACAAAATTAGGTCATACATGTGTCAAAGATTAAAGGTGTTACTAGAGAGTAACAAATATAAAAAAAGAAGGAGGAGGAGAGATAAAAACGATAGTTGTTTGACAGGCAAGAATGAGCAAACCACACAAGAGAACCCACCTTGAAACTTCCTCCCCTTATGCAAAAGGTCCCAACTCACAATACTTATCTGTAGTGGCAATAATAATAATAATAACAATAATAATAATAATAATAATAATAGATTGCATTTATAATTTTATATAGCGCTTTATCATATGCGAGTATAAGCTTTGAGTGCTTTATATCAATCACATGATAATCACTGAGCAATTCACAAAAGACAAACTATTTCGCAGTAACAGGAAAAACCAGCTCAACCATATAAAGATAAACTGTCACAACCATATATCAATGATATACACGTTAGGACAGCAGTACAAAAAAGTAGCGTAGTAATATATGGTCAGTCAAAACAATAATGGCTTCTTATTAGTTTTTAATAACAGATTTACAGCACTTGCAAAACACAAATAAGGTCGTATAAGTGGCGCAGATTAGTAGCGTTACAGGAGAATGGCTTACAAAGAAAAGGATGACAGATTTGTTTATAAAGACCACCACCAACACGACCACAAACACTACCACCAACAACAACATCGCAACGCCACCACCACCAACAACAACAACAAACAACACCACCACCACCACCACCAACACGACCACAAACACCACCAACAACAACAACAACGCAACGCCACCACCACCAATAACAACACCACTAACAACATCAACAACAACAAAAACAAACAACAACAACAACACCACCACCAACAACAACAACAACACCAAACAACAACAACAACAACACCAACACCACCAATAACAACAACAACAACGCCACCACCACCAATAACAACAACAACAACGCCACCACCACCAATAACAATAACAACAACAAAAACAACCCCAACACCACCAACAACAACAAAAACAACAACAACAACACCACCACCAACAACAACAACAACAACAACAACAACCGCAAC